AGTTTTCGTCCACGTGGAGATTCAAGAAGAATAACCTTGTGCGAAACGACAAAAAAGCGCGACTTTCTCTTACTCTCTCACCTACGCTTCTAACTAAAAACAAACGCAAAGGTGTTTTGCTAACGAGCGATGATATTTTAGTGTAGAACTCTACCGATGTGTGCGTTAGGCAACTAAACTCGTGTTACTGATTCTGCACGTCGTGGTCAAGACGACCGCGCGCGCCAACAAAAATCATATAAAGATTGATGCTCTCTCTCTCTCTTTCTTTCTCTCTCTCTCTCTCTCTCTCTCTCTCTTTCTCTCTCTCTCTCTCTCTTTCGCGGCCGGTAGCGGTCTTTATCGAAAGGACGTCATATAAACGCGGCGTACTTTTCGTGACGATTAGCGGAGATGACGTAGCATTATGCCGACAAAAGCGCGAACGATGGTTTACCGCTGCTTGTCGGGGTGTACGAGCCGGTGGAGAGAAAAGACTTGACGGCGATCCTGAATAGAGCCGATAAAGAGGTAGCTGGTGAAGGAAGGTGAGACGCCGACGAGAGGTGTACCTCGTTAATTGGCAACAATTAACAGAACGAGCATGTGACTGGCTACTGGGAGCCACTCACGAGCGTGATATGTGCGAAAAAATACCCGCCGATTTCTTTTCTCCGTTTCTCTCGCGCGCTTCTTATGCAAGAGAAGCCGCATGCACATAGCGTCAACGCTTTCTTTTCGAAGCAGTCGGTTTCCGCGACTTCATTTATCAAAAACGCGCGCTCGATCGAGGAATTCTTATACACATATGAGCGACACAGGAAGAATCTCTGTCGTGTCCCGTTACGCTGTGATTTTAATCACGCGAACAATAATCGTAATTGTGAACGCAACACTTTGCGGCGCTTTCATAGTTCGACAAAGTCCATGTGAGTAGAATAGTAAGACAATCTACATGTTGTTTCTTATCCACACTGTCTGTTCATCTTATTGTTGAAATTGTATTATAGTTTTAAACAGTTTTGTAAACCATTCTATATATATGTACAATGCGTTAAATCCAACATTAACAAAATGATCGCTTATTGTATATTACAATAAAATTATATAATTAAGTAGTTATAATTGGAGTGAAAAAGATCTTCTCTCACGCAAAGTTCTCTACAACAAAGTCGCGCGCAGAACAACGTAAAGAAAAATGTGGATTTATTTAAAAAGATCTTATACTTTCACGTGTCAACAACAGTTTAATATAAAAAAATCTTGCTTGCTAAATCAAATATTTATTACTATACAATGTTTATCACTAAATCGTCACTTCCTACGTATAATCCTATAACTCCAAAACGCAAAGTTTAGAGGAGAGCAGTTTAAAAGTTTAAAACTTCATATGTTTCTCTAGTTAAGGAATTCTTTCGGTTTCACAAATTGTTACCTTACTTATAAATATTTTTTTACTATTTGGTGACTATAAAGAACATGACTTTCTAAGTGTCACTATGCAATAAACTGAAAATCTCGTATGTGACACTTATGTAATTATACGTAGGGAATGACAAAATGTTTATTATTATTTTGAGAATTGTGTGCTCGTGAAACTTTTATAGTGGAGAGAAAGAGCCAATTCGAGCAAGACCAAGTTCTTGTGGTGTGTATGTTTGTTTAATGAAAGATATGTCAGACGTTTCGGTCCATTGTTTCGGACCTTCTTCAGTAACAATCAGATTTAAACTGTAAATGTATTAATTTATTATTATTGCTATTTCTTTTTCTGCTTCGCCCTTTCTCAGATCTTTTTTCTCTTTATTATTTGATTAATTTACACTAATTATTTTCAGTATCTGTAAGAACAACTTAAGATTCAATATCGTCAAAGATTTAGCATAGAATATATTTTTTATTTTTATTAAACTGTTTTTCTTTTGTACTAACTCTATTTTGTATGATATCTAATCTGTTACAATAATATTGTAAGAAGTACTTATATACATATATATTTAATATAAATAAAATGTTTATACCAGGTTTTAGATTTACAAGATATTTTTAATATTAAAGTAATTTAATATTAAATTATTTTATATCCAATTATATTCAATTACTTTACATTTATTATTTCATGTTACTTTGTATTTATTTTATTTTATATTTAATATTCAATTACTTTTATATATATTTTAATATTTTATATTTATTGTGTGTAAAATTTTAGTTACCCCAAATGTTTCTGATACAACAAATTTTCTGACAAAACAAAACTTTTGCGGAATATGTAATATAAAATAACACACTAATCAGAATATTTCATGTAAAATAGACAGAAAAAGTCAAAAAGTGTCAGAACATTAATATTAAATTTGAGAAACATGTAACTTGTAAAAAATAGAACCAAAATTTTATCTCAGTTTAGCAAAAGAAGGTCCAAGCTATTGTCATGAATTACATGATTGGAGGACGTGTCGGAATAATCGTAGTGTTGCGACCAAAAGACCTTATTTTATATGACTGCATGGCTTACTAATTAGTACAATCTTTTCATAATTTCTAGATCTCTCTATTATCTAAATCATTAATCACTGCAGAATACAATTTGCACAACATTCTCAGTGTCATTATATCATTAAAAGATGTGTATACATTGCATATCTATGACACAATATGTTGGTCAAAAATCTTTAAAGAGAGCCCAAAGTTTCTCACTAATTTAATAACCTTAATTTAGTAAATCATACTCAAAGGAAAGTAATTATTAGCTGTGTTTTCAATTTACACATATATATATATATATATATTTTTATATAAACAAAAATTACGTTAGCAGCTATACAATTAACTGTGTCTTTATGTATCGAATTATGTCATATTTTGCGAAAAAATTTCACGATTATAAGAATATATACTTCGATGTTTTGACTGTAATAGTTATGAACTTCAGTCACAAATTTTTGAACATTTTTGCAAGGAAAGGCCACAGTTGACTAATTACCGATTTTAATCTCCTTACAGATGGTGAATCATTGAAAATAAGTTGATCCGAGCGTCCAATGCGCTTTTTAAATATTTTTTTATGCTTGAAATTTGAAACAATCGGTAGTGTAGATGATAAAACATAAAGAAAGACGCGTTATCGACAAGTATCACGTAATGCTATAAGTGAGCGCGAGACTAGTAATTGCGAGAAATTGCCAGGATTAAACCCGTTGTCATTTTTTTAAGTTTCGTTATTCTTAATTTTTTAAAACTATTTTATATGTGGATGTAATAAGTATTATTTACTATTAGAAACAAATATTTAGGTATATATTTAGGTATACATATATACATACACACGTACACTACATGTCGATGACACGTCTTTCTTTATATTTTATAACTTATACTATCTTTTTATACTACTTTAACTTATATTACCTTTTTCAACTACCGTTTCAAATTTCAAGCATAAAAAAATATTATTTAAAAAGCGCAACTGAACAAAATATGAATCAACTTATTTTCGATGTAAATTCACTATGTGCAAGGAGATTAAAATCGGTGATTAGTCAACTGTGGCATCTCCTTGTAAGATATTCAAACGATTTATTAGTAACATATAATTGTGTTTATAATCTGGTGACTGATTGTGATTGTACAATTTATTTGTTGTATTTATATAGTATATTTATATATCTACTTATTAGAACATTTTGATTTCGTCTTGTATTTTTAGATCTCTCTTCTATACTCTCTTAAGTAGAATCAGTGCGTTGCACTGAAAATCAGTAAATATTTGACTCAGTGGAAGACGTATAACTACTGAATCAGTAAATATTTACTGATTTTCAGTGCAATGCACTGATTCTACTTAAGAGAGTATCACACGCAAGAACTAAAATCTTTCTCTACAAATATTGAAATTATGTTCTTATTTTTTATAGTAATTCAAAATTATTATTAAGTTCTGATTTATTCCTTTTTGTCTCAATCCTTCGCAGCAGGCATGGGTGTCTCTCTGAGTTTCCTAAACTCACTCAAAAAGTGGACACCGATGTCTAGAGTTTTTTCAAAGATATTAGCGTTTAAAACAATTTGTAAACGCTCATATATTCAAAACTACTAGAGATTTTTTCTATTTGTTTTTTTATCAATAGAGAATTGTTCAAACTTTTGCTTTGAAAAAAAAAACAAACAAACAAAAACAAAATTTTAAAAATATTCGTTTGCAGAAATATTTGATTTTACAGTTGCGTGAATCTCATAGATCCAATCTGTCCAACTAGTAGGTCACTTTTGAGGTCTGTCCACGAAGAGTTATCTTTTGGGTTAATTAAGTAGTGAATTAGATTATTCAAAGACTGCAAGAATTTTGTCCTAAAGCCCGATATTATTCATGTAAACAGAAAGACTATCAAAAACAAACTTAAAAGCAAAACATTATTGGTACATATTGCGTAACATCTTGTTTATACAAAATTTTTGAATCATATGTACAGTAGATGTGAGAAATTTACCGAATAATAAAAATGATCAAAAAGTGTATAAAAAATGTAAAGCTGAGTACACACACTTATAGCGAGAAAAAGTGAGAGAGAAAGAGAAGAGAAGAGAGAGAGAAAGAAGCTGACGCAATATACCCATTGTTTAACATTTTTCTTATTGTAATTTACGCGTTTTTGAACAATTTGCGTGTTTTTTGCTTTGTGCGCAACCTGTAAATTGTTAGTCAGATGTAAATCAACACTATCTAATGTCCACTCTTTGAATGGTTCGGATCGCTTCATGTCTGCATCGACATCCAAATTGTAAGACACGCCACGTGTTTCTTTGACAAAAAAAATCAACAATTTCGATTCTTAACGTGCACAAAATAATAGTGTGCAAGTGAAGATCATGAAAGGATTGCACTAGACTGTGTCAGTTTTATAAAAATGTTCGAAATTGTTTCTATTCTGAGTAATTCCACTTGTTATAGTTTTTATACAACGCTTGTCTTTATACAGAAAATAAAATGTTTATTGAAATATTACATTCTTTTTGCTTACTTTTTCCGATGTATTGATATTCTCGACGCGTTGTTGTTCCGTGCTGGCTGAGGATAATATCCTTGGACGACTGCGTAATGGTTATTTTTTCAAATATGGATATCGTTGCGCGCGTCCACTGTTGCTTTCACTAGGTCTTCAGTCTTTTTCTTCAATTTTTTAAAATATTCTTTCACGTATGTCTTCACTCACGAATCATTCCGAATACTTTGATGAAGTAGCGCGAAAACACCGGGAGATGATCGACGGGCAAGAATACACGTAGGTAGTTCATGAACTACTAAATTGACGAAGCGATTTTATTATCGTTTTCTGCGCAAATGAGAGATAAAAAGCAAAATTTCTTGTTGCTGAGATGCCAAAGAACGGCTATTGACAAGTGATGATTTTAGAGCAGACCTTCACTCAAGATAATCACGGATACTGCGGATAGACGAACAGTGGCGATGTAACGATAAGCGCGAAAACATACATGAGCGAACTTAATTTGCAGATTATTTTGCTTTTACTTCACTTTGCGGATCACTCGTCCTACGGCACGATCGAGCGTACCTCCAGGGCGATCTCTCGACGCGGGCGACGGCGTTGGCAGGCGACGGTGACAGGCGATAACGTCGCGCTTCCTGGTACCGCCGTTTGGTGGTGCTGACGTTGTGTCCTGAGTCTTGCACGATATCCCCCACTACCGCACCCGCGGATCTCCAAACTGACCTGCGTTTCCCCGAAAACCCGCGCGCTTACGTTCCTGGGACACTGCCGTTGTGCGTCTGCCTGTATCTGTGATGCTGAGAGATATACAGAGTCGTGTGGGCCAGTCGCGTAACCAGAAGCAGGAAGAGGCGGCGGTGGTTAGGATGGGAGGGAACGGAAAGCAGAAGCGCGCGATGTATGGAGGATGAATTAGTGTTCGTTCACGCGAGTGTGTGCCCAAAGAAGAAGAGAGGGGATTACTAACACACAGCGGTGGGATTCGTCTCGCTCCTGGTTCCTGGGACGCGCCAGAAAGCTCGATGACGATGGTGGTGTATGTACGAGTGTGCGTGTCTGTGTGTCAACGTGTCTTTGGGTAGATATAGATTGTCCTGCCTTCGGTATACTCTGCTTTTACCAGATTTATTCTCCTTCAATACGTGAAGAACCTATGTGTATACTGCGTGGGTCTGATGTATGCGATGAGATCGAAGAAGAATTTGCGCACACAACAATATTGCCATTTGCTACTGGATTTACATGACGAATTCTGGCTCTGTCACAAGTGTGTTTACTTGGCCTGTTATGTCTTTACATACACTCCCTGTACCACCACTCCGGGAAGAGCGCCCCACCATCGTTTAGAATACGCCATCAGTGAGTGGTAAAGAGAGAGCGAAGAAAAAACGAGATTCGCCAAGTTGATTCAGAATTTTCTCCGTTTTTCTTTTCTCTCTCTCTCCCCCCCCCCCTCTTTCTCTCACACACACACATATTATAAATAAGCTTTACCTCGATAATATATAAACGCGCGTGGTCGTAAGAGAAGAGTACGAAGGACTGCTCAATCTCCCGATTTTTTGCTCTTCTGCATTTTCCTTTCCCTGCAAATTCTATGAAAGACACACGCGTGTCTCGTATGTAACGAAGAAACATGATCTATGTATGTATAACAGAAGTAAAGAAGTTTGTGCGAGCTTTTAACCTGTCTTTTTGCTTTTTTCTTTCGTTTTGCTCTTCTGGTGTTAAAGATTCAAGGCTGGTTGTTGTAATTATTCTACGAGTATACCTTACGAGAGGAAATAGGAGTCGGTTTGTTTACTCTTACATTATAATAAAAGGAGAGAACATATATCATTGCTATTTTGTAATTTGAAAATTCCAACTAAACGCATTTAGCGAAAAAATTTTGTCGTGTGTAATTTATCCTCCTCAGTTTTTGTAAAACGTAGAAAAGTATTTTTATTCTCTAATGAAAGATACAGCGAGCGCAATTTTCGCGCACACGTCTTGTACTACATTTCCTAATGGAAATACTGCTTCGATGAACTATCGCGCGCACGCGTGCTACATATATACGCACGGTTGACACTGCACACATCTGCGAGACAACACCCTCTATGATGCGCGACGACCCGCGACAGCGAAGGGAGAAGAAGAACGTGCACGTGCGCGCAGCCTCCGCGTGGACCAAAATGGCTGCGACGCGAGCTGATTGGCCGCGTAGACTCAACGAAGGCGTGGAGAACATCTCGCGGAAGGCCGTTAATCGGTCGATGATCAAAATAAAGAGCTCTCGCGGATAGTAGCTGAGTGGGGGAAGAACAGCGTATGCCTAGTGGGGAATACGAAGTGTACGCGTTGCGTTCATTATGCGGTTGGTAGGGCAAGATTGACAGTGGGGGCAATCACTCTCGGTAGGGGTAAAGATTTTTTTGATGGCTTATTTTCCTCTCTCTTTTTTCTTTATCTCTTTCTTCTACACATTTGGCGTAGCGTTTATGTGCACGCATATACGTAAATGTGGCTTTAAGTGTGTGGAGCGTATCGCGTGTGGTGTATCGAGCGAGCGTCACGCACGTACATGCTCGACGATCGTCATTAAGGGAGATGTTAATTGGTGACAAAGCGAGGTCAAATCGAAAACTCGTGCAGCGCGTAGTCCAGAGACGCTTTCCGTGTTTTTGTTTTGTCTTCTGCTTCTTAATGTGTGCACCAAGTCACTACGTTTGCCGAACATCCTGGAAATTCTATATCTTGCTTGATTTTGCGTCTAATATTGACATCAATAGTTGATGCGGATTCCAGTATAACAGTGAGCTCGCGATGCGAGAAAGAAACGCGCCGTTTCAACAAAAATATTTTAAGAATATTTTTCTATGTCGGCAAAAGTTCTGTTTAATTTTGGCTCATATTAGTTTAGATTTATTAATATATTATTTATTTGTGTAAAATGTGTGTAAAAAAATGTTGTATATTTTATGATTTTTATACAATTTGCGACTAGTCAAGTGTTTATTTTATATTTTTAGTTACACGAAATTTCTACTAAGATTCCTACTAAACTGCCAGTTTTTCAAGAAGATATTACAAAATATCTATACTTCATGTACTTACGACAATGTCTGCATTTCGTATTAACACATTGAGTGCCGTAGAAGTCACCGGCACTCAACTTGCCAGTGACGCCGTGGAGGTCATCGATGACCAGCGATGCCAAGATTAGTAAAAACATATTCAAATATATGACAATGCTTCTAAAATTTCTAATATTATCCTTATTACAATGATGTAAAGAAATTAATGTATCATAGAACATATAAAAAGTAGTTTTATCTATAATTGTATGTTATACGCGCATGTTGCAATGTGAAACTTTCCTCACTATCCGATGATATTTGATGGCGTTTATAAAGAGATGATGAAAATGAGTCATTAGATGATATACTTGAGACATGATCTTCATTTGACGACATAGTAAAACATATTATGTTAAAGGTTATTTAAAAAATTAAATTATATAAGAAATAAAATGCAAAAATTAATGTAGCGCGCGTATAGAAATATAAATAAATATTATTACCTGGTAGTTGGAAAGACTCTCTCTCTAAAAAATGAGTAAAATAAGTAACAATTGAGACAACTGAGTTTTTTGTAAAACAAGTGAAACGTAGCGTGAGATCGAAAAAAACGCACTTCAGTGTCGCGAGAATTACCGGTGACACCCAGTAAGATAAATGCATAAAACATGATAATACAGTTTAACTTATCTGTTGTAGATATTTTACAATAATATGCATCGCATATCAAAAAATTCACTCCGGCGCTTTGGGTAAGTCATATAAAAATGGTCTGATAATGGTCATATAAAAGTGATCCGACATTTAACGTGTTAACACATAGTACATATGTTTCAGCCATTATATGTATACACTTGCTCACTCACTCATTGTTTCTCTCCTCCTCTCACTCTTTATTTGTATGTGTGTGTGCATGTGTGTATGCGCGCGCGCATATCTGTGCGTATATGTACACATCTAAAGTTTTTGATCATTTTTGACACAATTCTTTTACGTGTCAAATATTGTTTCTTATTTGCAATTTTTTAATTCTTAAATATATAGAAATTTAAATTTGTTTATATACAGAGTGTCCGGAAAATCGCTGCCAATACTTCGGGAAGTGATTGGGGATCCAAAAAGAAGGAAAAAAAAGTTATATAAACATAAGTCCGGAAATAAGTCGTTTCCGAGTTATAACCACTTTTACGTGTAAAGATTGTAATTTTTTTCATAATCATAATTTATTTTATTGTGTTTTAACATAAGTAACTGTTGTGTTTTAACATAAATAACTGTTGTGTTTTAACATAAATAACTTTATTTCGGACTATTCTGATAGAAGAATAAGGACCTGCATTCGTGCTGAAGATGGTCATTTTGAACATAAACAGGTATTTAAATTGAATTAGATATGATGTTCAAAAAGAGGCTTCGGGTCACCGATTTGCTTCAAATTTTGCATGTTGGTAGGACATCACGAACACAATCTCAAGTTCAAACATTTGCGAGAAAATCTATCCCAAACTTACCATATATGTATTTATTTAAAATATTATTATATTTTATTTATTGTTACATTTACATATAGAAGTATATTTTTTTGTTATTTTAATTATTAATACAATTTTATCTATAATGCATGTTTATATCAATATTTTATAACAAAAAATTGATATATTAAGATACCCTATAAAGTTTGAGATGGATTTTCTTACGAATGTTTGAGAGGTGCATTTTGTTCCTTGAACATCCATGCAATTGTGTTTGTCTCTCTTCTACTAAAGTGTAAAAAACTTTGGAGCAAATCAGTGACCTGAACGTCTGAGTCTTTTCTTGTAAGTTTAGTTTGTTCTATTAAGATAATTTCTATATTCTCTGATTGTTAAGCAACTCTAGCTGATTTTTTCGTGTTTTTGTAAGATTACCTTCCTTTTTCTCTAAATCATTTTGAAAAACAATATTTTTCTTAAGTAAGTAAACAATTTTTTTTTTCTTTCAATTGCAAAAATGTATTTGAGACATTTTATAGACATTCTATAGACAAAATTCTACAGACATCAAAATAAATAAATATAATCTTTTTTGTGCAACGTTTCGCAGCTAAGCAACGTATATTCATATAAATTTATTTTTATGATTTACTACTTGCTACTAGAATATGTATCTGTCCTTTTACACTGATAATGAATGTATAGTTATATGTCGATAGAATATTATATCAGGGTATGCCTGAGTTTTCTCTGATCAGGCCAGCATCAGGAATTCCTAAATAGGACATACCGGAATGCTCCCTGATCAGGGCCATATAATACGTTAGGTTTGCCGGATCCAATTTCTACTCGGGATATTTTAAAACAACAATATAAAATATACAATATTTAAAGTATTTTTTATAAAACAAAATATATTTTGTGTGTGTGCATGCGCGCGCGCGCGTATGTGTATATAGAAAGCAACCTTGCGCTTTTCTTCTTATGTTCAATTGCAATATCGTGTTTTTCTCGGTATTTCTGCAAACACAGAGGAACACATTTTGTTACTTACAAAAAAAGAAAACTACCTAACAACATGTATTGACAAAATCACAATCTGTTAATAAGTTATATATTTGGAAAATACATTATGTAACATTTTGTTAAGAATATTAAGAGTTTAATTAATTATTAATTTTGTGTCTAATTTTACTACACATTGAAAAAAAATATTTTTTATATAAAATATTTATTTCAAATGTATTATTATTTATTTTATTAATTTTTAAATATATTTTATTAGATACTTTATTAGATACTAAATATTACTATATACTATATTACTTTATTAGATACTACATATAATTTATTTGAAAAAGTAGTAGATTCTTTTGAGTTGATTTTTTAAATTAAACAAATAAAACTAGCTTTGTCACACAAATTCACGGAATCATGTTGAAATGTCATTTTTGTATTTCCTGTTGCTATTCTCGTGGACACAAACTGAAGTCGATTATTGTTTGTTTGTATTGACCCGAACTGTGCGCTTAGAGATGCATTAAGATGATGATGTGTGTGTGTGTGTGTGCGCGCGCGCGCGCGCGCGTAGTATTCTCCGTTCTATAGCGTCTGTATATGCCTGAGTGCGATTGGGGGCACGAGACGTTACCAGCCTGAAAATTGAATGCGCATAGAAGAAACGTCACAATATTCCATATGATCGTGGATGGTCTCGTCCCACTTTGAAGCTATTGTGTCGCGCTACGTTATACGACAGTTTTTTCAACTGAAACATTAGCAGAGTCGAGGGCGAAAAGTTCAAATCTCTTTTTCAAATAAAACGATCGAATTTTACAATACTGTTTTTTTTTGTATTTGTTATACAACTCGAAATATTCATCGCAATAGGATATGATAATGAAAGTACACTCGTGAACATGATACCGATCAAATTTTGCATATTAAACAAAATCAAACGATATGTTCAGAGGTAATAATTTTGTAAACTTCTTTTTCTAATTTTGTACTTTAATTCACGTGTACTTAACACGTACACATTTTATAACTTTACAAGTATCACATACAGTTTATAACTTTATTACTTAAAATTCTGTATTTGAAAAATAACTAGATTTATTTATATATACAAGAGATTTGTATATACAAAGAGCGATTAACAAATATCCAAAACTACGCATATAGATAGCGATAGTATAATATCACATTACTGTGTTATCAAGTTTCATTCTTCTTCAGAAGAACAAAACGCTGGTTCATTATTCGCACATAGTCACCTCTTGTTGGTTGTCGGTTACTAACGCGAGTCAGCATGCATGTCAATTGAGAATACCTTTCCTTTTTTCGGCATCTATCGAATGCGACTGCGATTGACACGGCTTTTCTATAAAATAATGTTGGGGTTAGGCGCCGACAACTAAATCCGTCTGAAATGTTTGACAGAATAATTTTCACGTTAGCACAGGATACATTATATACTTTATGCTTTAGTGTCTGATCGCTCGTATTGTCGCCGAAATAAGCCGTATCCCGACAATCCTTGGTTCTTTTACAACAAACTCTCTAGTGAAGAAAACATCTCTTCTCTGTATCCACCGAGAAAATTTTGACCACATATAGTAAATATCTACAACATAAACTTTTTTTTTACCTACAAACTAAACAAATATTCAGGCACAGCGGATTTTATTTTTGAAGATAAAAAGCGCTTCGCAACCATTATATATATATAAGTAATAAGAGAATTACGAATTATATATACCCTAATAGGCAACCTGTGGAAATATTGCGTAAAAATGGCATCATGAATAACGATTTTGCAATGATTGCACTAAGATGATTCGCCATAACGCAACAGTTTTGTCGAAATAAAATTTTGTAAATAATATTTGTCAAAAATTTCGAAAAAGTTGTTATGCATTTTCATAAGTATATACATGAATTAAGTTGATTTCTTCATATGCAATTATATTTCTACATATTTGAAACATCACATAGCTAAAAGTTTGTTCTCAATTATTGGACAATTTCTTTTTAAAATTAATTTTGCAAATATACTGCTAAGATGATTTGCCATATCGTTACTCTTTTGCCGAAATAGTATTTGGAAAGTAATTTTGAACACAACTACACATATTTTATAGAAGATCAATGTTTTTATATCTTTTTCCTAAAATATATCTGTATAATTGCAAATTACAATTTTAGTGCAAGATTTTGTCACATAATTTTGTAAATCAAAATAGAAAAGGGCCAATACGAGGCAAAACAAAGGATGTTGGTGTGAATCAGCAAAATTTATTTAAGTGCCAAACGTTTCGATCACAAGTTTTTGATCTTCATCAGTGGCAACTGTTTACAATTAAATAAATAAAAAATAAGAAAAAAGGTTAAGAAAAACGATCTTATAATAAACAATAAAAACTCTACAAAATGAAAATTAAAAATTAAAAATTAGGCAGCACATCAACACATTTTGTACCGTGAGTAACGAACAAGAGTTAAATTCGTACTGAATGTACGAATTCAGTACATTTATTGTTTATTATAAGATCGTTTTTCTTAACCTTTTTTCTTATTTTTTATTTATTTAATTGTAAACAGTTGCCACTGATGAAGATCAAAAACTTGTGATCGAAACGTTTGGCACTTGAATAAATTTTGCTGATTCACACCAACATCCTGTGTTTTGCCTCGTATTGGCCCTTTTCTATTTTGATCAATCTTTTCACGAGGTCTTAAAAACTTTTTGAATTTTGTAAATGTTTTCCTATCAGGGTATATATATATTACGAACTATATATGTATGTGAAATATATACGAAAAACCTAGTTTTAACTCACATAGCATCGTAGTAGCACAAACGTTTCTACAACGGGTTTTCCGAAACTTAGCAACGTTTCGTTAAAAGTCTCTAAAACGTCGTAGTAACGTAGCGGAAACGTCGAAATGTCCGCTTTTTAAGTTACTACGACGTTTTAGAGACTTTTAACGAAACGTTGCTAAGTTTCGCAAAAAAACCCGTTGCAGAAACATTTGTGCTACTAACGGTGCTATGTGAGGAAAGTCAATTTTGCAAACGTAAATGATTCTTTAGAATTGCAGTTAAAAATTAATCGAAAATTTAATTAATTATTCAGTCTGTCAGTTGTCTTCGAAGCGAAAGGATGTTTCAGGTCTTCCTATGTGCGGTTGACGGTTACTGAGTTGCCACTTCTTCTTTTTTTCTTCAAACTGGGTATGTTTGTAGCATATTGTTTCCGTATCCATGTTTTTCATTATCGTTGCGAATAGCATGCATTGTAACTTTTTTATCTGTAGACACTGAAGAAGATCCCATAGTGGATCGAAACGTTTGCATCAATTGTTAAATATTCGGAATAAAGAAGAATTTTACCCAAACATCAGGTATATAGCTCGTTATTGCCTCCATATCTTCTTATTAAAAATTGATGTATATTCTGTTTTTGTTTAAAAATTGACGTATATTTTCTTATGTAAATTAAGTCATTCTTTCTACAAAACTAACGCAATATGCGCGACTCGCTTACGTAATGCATTTACACCACTGTTGTAGTTATAAAAAAAACTCCATTATTGATTGGAAATACGATAGCGGTGGAAAATATATTTAGTTAAATATAATTTTTCGAAAGATACTTAGTGTAAAAGAGAAACGTTACGACATTAGCCATCAAGAGATCGCGATCAGGCCTTTTAGGTCTGTCACTCGACACCAAATCAGACATTATCTGTCTAAAATCTGTCACTGACGGCTACAATGCGAAGTCGAGCCCTCACTTTATCCCCATGTTGAAATCAGACTAAATGACAGAAAGAAAGAGAAAGAATCTGCCAGTAGGAAGATGACGAGGGAAAGGAAGACGAAGAAAGTCGGCAGACGCGTCGGTATGTATAAGTAGAGGGTCTCTTGCCACCTATATTTGACACCTTTTGGTATAATAAAATAAAACGTTCCAGTGGAATGTGGTCGAAGCGCCATTCCCCAACTGGTCATGAGATGTCGCCGCGAAAAGAAAAGAAGAATTCGTCAGGGTTTTTTTACAGGATACTTGAGAATCGATAATCGCATTTTCAGACGCTAATAAAAACTCTTTCTTCCTTTACAAACTTGAAATAATAAGCCTGTTTATAAACACGCAAGTCCGATGACGGTTTTGTATGTTGAAAAATCAGTTGAAGACTCAAAACATTATCACAAGTCTGCAATTCGACAAAAAACGCATTGGCCGATGCGATTTATCTATCGTGAATTAAAAAAAACTTCGACGAATGATTCAATAAATAACTCCCGCAATATTTCATTTGGCTTTAATCTGATAGGCATCGTCGCTATTCCAGATGTTTCAGAAGGAAGAGACTTGTTTGTATAAGATGCGTGAGACAGATATATAGTCTAGTCAATTTGACACTCTCATCGACGTTCTAATGGCTGCTTTCAGCTTCGAACACAAGCCAGTTAGATGCAGTTATCTCTTGGCAAATGCGTCCACTTGTGCTAATCGCTGTTTTTTTTTTAAATTCATAGTAGTAAGGATTTATTTATTAAAGTTTTTTTTTCTTATAAATAATTTAATGAAATTATTGTTTTCTCTAAAATATTATACGTTAACACGTCGATGTAATAAAAATCTGATTTTAAATCAAATTTAACTTTACATAAGACAGTTTGAATTTAAGTGAAAAATAAAACAATAGAATTTTCTAATGTATTTGTGATTATACACATGTGTATATAATATTACTATGATTATATATAATATTACTAATATATATATTATTAAAGAGATCATACGCGTATATTATGATCATACGTATATTAATTTAAATTAAAGAGATCACAAAAATTGCAATTAAACAGATTTTAGTTCCTCTTTCTCCAGGTTCGTTACTAGCGCTGTTGGTACTGTATGTAATGATACTTCTATATATTTCTTTGGTGGCAAAAATCTGAAAATAATTATGTACAAAGAAGAAATTAACACATGAAAATTAATTATGTGTAAATTCAAAATATAAGAGAGAACTCTCTAAATGTGAGAAAATATTATTTAAATGAATTTCAACAAGAGCAAATATTTGATAGAAAATGTCAATTCTGTCTTTTCTCCTATTTCTACAGTTATCTTGGATTTTAACACGTTCGCTACTATGCGTCATATACTTATATGTGACATGTTGGTTTGTTTCGACAGCCCGGTGTCACATATATATAACATCTATAAATTTGCCGTTTTATGATCATGAAAAAACCTGAAAGTAGTTCTAAACTTTGCTGTTGCTGTCTAAAATAATTGATCAAATGGTGGATGATCTGTACAGTAAATCTTTTCAACCAGATTGTAGCAAACGTGTTAAGTTACAGTAATTATTTCTTCATTTCTAGCAACATCCAAGATTCTTGTGAGATCGAGGAACCTTAATAAAAAGTATTCCGGGTGTCTTTTAATTAAAAAATTTGAAAAAAAAATATCTATTTTTCATATTCTAAATAAAAGTCAAATCTAAATAAATAGTTTTGAGATACGAGAGAATCATAATAATCATATATACTCGAATATATACCTTGCAATGAATGGTGGAAAATGATCTCGATCGACATCGCTTATATCAGGGGCACCGCAGACAAAGCTGACTACCGTTCCAATTATGATTACGATTGTAGCTCCGAGTAGCGTATAGTACATAAACGATATCCTGTACAAAAAGAAAGGCTTTCCCAAAGATTCGACTTGCATAGGATTTTGCGTGGTGGTTGTTGTGGTTGTTTGGTTGACTAGACCGTGTACGTTCAAACAACCCTCCGTCGTCAAGGGTAGCGGTTCGTAATAAAGACGACCGTTGACCATGTTCCACTGCGCGCCGACGATGATCCAGATCATCGTCACCATCGAGACCAGCCCTCCAACTATCGCTCCCTTCGTCGTCGCCCAAGGCACCAACATTCCCAGCGAGAATAGACCTAACATTGCACCGGCGGTAATGCCAGTTATAGTCAGAGACAACTGGAATATGTCACTGAGATGGGCCACAAGAAACACCATACCCACGGCCAATATGCCTAAGATAACCACTGTGACCTAATCATAAGATAAATTCTCCTTAAATGTATGTAGCAGATCTTGATATTACGCGTATCTTTTTTCTAAATTTACAACATTTTTTCTGCAAAAGAACTGAAAGTAGTGCAACTAATATATTATATATGTTGCAAATAAAAAACTTACAACCCATGAAAAAATAGAAACATATATGATTATATAAGATTACATATAAATGATCCAGATTGCGCCAAATATATTTCGGATCTAATTTTATATGATCATACATGATTTTCTATATTTATATATGATCATAAAAATCACAGATCGCGCCAAATTTCGGATTTAATTTTACACGATCATATGAAATCACATTCGACTTGTATAAAATCATATACGACTCATGTATATAATCTTACATTATAGCACGTTTTCTATTTTTTCTCAGGAATTTACTGATGAATACATATATGTATACTAATATATGTATATGTATATGAATATATATATATACATACTATATATGTACTTTAAAATATAAAAACATATATATTCAAAATCTCTCTTTTTCTCTCTTTTTCTCTATATTTTTTGAGATTGATATAAATTGATGTAAATTAATATATAAATGAATATAAATTATTTTACTGTATTAAATATATCTTACCATTTTTTTCATTAAACTTGAAAAATTAGACAATATCGAAAACAGACAAATATTACAGAAAAAGTTTAAAACTTTTAATTTTTTTAAATAACAATTTTTAATGTCAAAACAGTAATAATAACAGTAATAAAATAGATTTTTTAAATTAATAGTTTTGATTTTGACGTAGTGACGCTGGGTTACTATTTTTTTGTGTGCAAGTCTGACATCCGCTACAATTTTTCATGTCTATAACAATTGAGCAATACTAATAACAAAATTTCTTAGCTGCAACAACGCGATTTCTAATGACTGTGTCAAACAATTTCTTTTATAGATTTATTTTTGAAATATAACATCATATTTCAAATTTTTTCTATTGTACATTGCAAAAGAAACGGAATGTAGGTTTTCACGAAATATTGTAAAAATTTCTACTGAGAACGAGATGCGCTCAACATGTTATTGTATGGCAAAGAACAAAGAAAGAGAAAAAATGAGAGGAATATTATTGTTTTTTTCATGATTTTGGATTGTAATATATTCTGCACGCGCCTGCCTTTGTACCTTTATAATGTTGGCGGCTTTAGTCTCTTTGTCATTGCTCTCTGGCACCCAGCGATCGATGAAATCCTCATAAATCGTGCCGGCAACTGTGTTCAGCCCGGCGCTCATTGTCGAGAGACCAGCACTCACTAGACCAGCGAGAAAGAGACCAGGAAGTCCCGGAACGTCCGCAGCTACGTCTAGCACATAATACGGTAATATCTTGTCGATTCTTGCTATCACCTGAAAGCAAGTTAATTTCTTTACTGAAATCTCGAGGAGAAGTGATTTGTTTAATCCTGAAGTGTTCGACTTTTTAATTTTATCTTAATTATACAATTTGCTGGATTTTTACAATGTACGCACGTTTGTGCAAAAGAGAAGAGCTAAAAGAAACTTATAGTAAAAAATTTTATTGAAGAAAAATATTATTATTTTGATATACACACACCGTAAGATGTTTTAAAGTTCAAATGATTTCTTTATTGTGTGAGAACGTCTTTTGTTTTTGCGCATTATACACAGTTGGAGTAAAGTAAAAAAAAACAGTATTTTTATAAAATAAAAATTCTAACACAAATTCTATTTTTACGCGCGATAATTCTACAATTTTTGTTAGGTGGCATTAATAATTCCGGCGATTTATATCCAGAGAAATTTCAGATTGAAAATATGAAAGGCTAACTTCGCCCGGCATCATACTTCCAGAAACTGTCTAATAATAAGACCTTATAATTCTCGAAGAGTTATACAGTTTTTGATAGGTTTTATAAAAAATTTTTTAAAGAAACAATGAGAGAGATAGGCCAATAGGAGCATTTACACGGTTGACGATGTGTTGCGTTATATAATTGTATTTATCGAAATTTATAATAAACAGACATTTCGACTCATGGATGGTCTTTATTAATGTTGATTTCTACAATAATTGACGTATTACAATATTTTGAGTGAAATAAAGATGATTTGCTTTTTACTTACATGAATACAATTTGAGGTTGTGTGATTTTTCCTTAATCAAAGTCAGCATGTGTCAAAGGGTTCTTTTTGTCAAATTTATAAAAATTGATGGACTTAAAATGAAAAATAGTAATAAAAATTTAAGTGTAATTTGAATGTATTTAAAGTCTAAAGTATTCTTGAATTGAAGTTTTTTAAACATATTTTTTTCATTTATGAATCTTTACACCATTACTTGTCATAAGTAAACATAACAAATGCAGCTAACATCTGCCGTTTTTTATGATTCTCAGCGAAGAGAAAATAGAACTTGTATTAGAACTTTCACTTCTTAAAAATGTTGTATCTCACACACACATCTTATACCTTAATAAGCAAATTGTAAAAATATTGCACAAAAATGGCAACATGAATAACGACAATTCTGCAATGATTGCACTAAGATAATTCGTCATAATGCAACAGTTTTGTCGAAATAAAATTTTGTAAATAATAATATTTGTCAAAAATTGGAAAAGAGTCGTTATGCATTTTCACAGTACAATACTTCCAATAGGCAAATTGTGAAAATATTGCACAAATATGACATCATGAGTTACGACGATTTCTTACATTTCTTCATATGCAATTGTATTTCTACATATTTGAAACATCACATAGCTGAATTTTTTTTCTCAATTATTAGACAATTTCTTTGTGAAATTAATTTTGCAAATATACTGCTACGATGATTCACCATATTATTTCTTTGTCGAAATAGTATTTGGAAAGTAATTTTGCAAACAACTACATATATTTTATAAAAGATCAATGTTTTTACATCTCTTCCCTAAAATATATCTGTATAATTGCAAATTACATTTTAGTACAAGATTTCGTCACATAATTTTGTAAATGTTTTGATATCAGGGTACCAACTATGACGCGCGTGTTACTACAATCAAAATTCTAATCTTTGTTGAAAATTAAAAACTCAATCAATACTTACATGCGCAGATATAGGATCGCATTTATGATATCTAGCATACATTGTAAGTCCAGTAAAAACAGAAATAAATTTCACAACTACCAAACCTATAGACAAAACCCACATCGACCTATAACAATACATACATGAAATAAAACGGTCAGTTCTCAATCACACTAATAAAAAGCATTTACCATCTTACTTTTGTGCTTCCTTAATAGTAGGCACTGCCAGGAATCTTTGCATAGAGACTTGATTAATACCTAATGACGCTAACCAAGTCATTACCATTCCGATTGACATACCCCAAAATGAATTTCTGGCAAAAGGACTAGGATCCATGCTGTCAAAAGAATTGGCATCATTATATGACAGTATATATTGTCTCCATTTCTTCATTAATTAATAGACACTTGTAATATTGTTATCTTAAAATTTATGTACAGTTCTGTAATATTTCCTTTCCAGCATTTAGTATTAAAGTTTTTCAAATAACCGTCTTTTTTTAAACATTTTCTTAAAAATTAATTTAAGTTATAGTTGTTTAGCAATTACATATCAGGCTCCGAAACATTCAAACTCATACGTCATATTTCAAGAATTACTTCAATATAATAGCTATATTACCTCTTTGCATTTAGAATTGCTGTTTTAGATTGCGAGTTGATATAGGCCTAGTTTACATCGCACATCTTTTTGGTATGCGAATCAAATAAAATTTTTCAATGTATAATTCTAGTGTTTACATTATTATAAATGTGCTTGATACGTGTACCATTTTGATACGCGTGAAGAAGACGTACCAGCTTAATATGACATCGTTTACATAATTGAAATCAAGTCGAATTTAATACGAATATAGAACTTACTACGCGTATTAAACGATCAGTGTAAACTGGGTCATAATCTCATATGTTACATGAGAGTCTAGCGGAGTAAAAAGATCCAGTACTTACATTTCTAACGCGATAATGAAATGCAAAGAGTTCATAATCAGTAATATAAGGATTATACACACACACACACACACATACAGGATGTTCGACAATTAGTGTAAAATCTCTTGTAAGCAGATAGAAGAAGTAAAACTGAGTCAAAAAGTCCTAAACCATTTTTTTCTATTATATATTAATAAAAGAGTACTTATTGAATAAATCAAGCCAATCAGCGCCGACCTTTAGTCGGGCGCACGTCAGTGAGCCGCGCGGAGCGCTCACGCACACTAGGCGCGTTGTTCACTGACGCGCGTTCAGCTAAAGGTCGGCGCTGATTGGCTTGATTTATTCAATAATTACTCGTTTAGTATATGTAATAGAAAAAAATGATTCAGGACTTTTTGACTCAGTTTTAGTCCTTCTACCTGATTACGAGAAATTTTACACTAATTGGCGGACACCCTGTACATATATATATACGTATATACAGGGTGTCCCGTAATTACCGTCTCACCGTTTGTAAGCAGGTAGAAGAAGTTATTCTAAGACGAAAAGTCCTATACCACTTTGGAAGATTCGCAATAATTAACGAGATATTAAGTAATAAAGATCTGTGAATCAGCGTGCACTCAGCGTAAGGACAATCCAGTCTTTCGCGCGCGCGCCGTAGCGACGGAATGAGAGGAGCTAATATAATACTATGTGTGATATACACATGTATAACAGCATATACTATAACATATACATATTAAAACGTAATCGTGCGAAGCACGCTGAGCTGTCCTATGCGCGTAAGACAGCCCGATATACGCTTATTCACGGATCTTAGTTAATTAAGATCTCGGTAACTATTGCAAATCTTCCAAAGTAGTATAGGACTTTTCGTCTTAGAATAACTCTTTCTACCTGCCTACAAGCGGTGAGACGGCAATTACGGGATACCCTGTATGTATGTATATATATATATATATATACAGGGTGTCTGACAACGAACTATAAAGCCGACGTGTGTAGGTAGATCGAGTTATTCTGAACAGAAAAGTTATATACTATTTTGCAAAATTCGCAATATTTATTGAGATATGAATTAATAAATGTGANCCAATNANNGCGCGNGGAGCGATGATCNGACTCTATAGGCGTGCACAATTATCAGCTCTACTCCTCGCTCGCCGCTGCTCGCTGCGTACCGCCGAATAGCGCCCGATCGCAAGAAACTGAGTCGTCCGCGCTTGTTTGTTTACTCCGCCTCTCGTTACTAAGACATTACATGAGAAAAGCCATTTTTCTTTTCATCTGATAGTCATGCACGCCTATAGAGTCCGATCATCGCTCCCCGCGCCTTCATTGGTTCACATTTATTAATTCATATCTCAATAAATATTGCGAATTTTGCAAAATCGTATATAACTTTTCTGTTCAGAATGACCCGATCTACCTACACACGTCGGCTTTATAGTTCGTTGTCAGACACCCTATATACAAGGTAACAAAAAAGTACCGGAATATTTAAATATCTCAGAAAATATAACTTTTACAGAAAAGTGTTTCAGACAAAAGTTGTAGAGTTTAAAAGGATCTATTTACTGATGGTATCACTGTGATCTTGAATGGCGCCGTCAAGGTCAAGTCAAGGTCACATCGATTTTTTAAAATAAAACTCCCTATTTTTTATTGCAAATTCTTATAGCTCAATTTAAGAGCTTTCCAAAATACTATACTAAAGTATATTTTTATTAAGTACTTTTTGAGTTATGAAGGGTGAATATTAGAGTACTGCTGGTATTTTTTCTACGAAGATGATTTTGACTGAAACAAATCTTGTGAGTTCATGATGCAAAGAATTGACAAAGAACCTAACTTCCTATTCAACATAGTTTTTTTACATAAAGCAACATTCAAAGTGAATGATAACGTCAATAGATAATGCTAATACCGGCAATATTAGAAGCTCTTGAATTAAGCTATAAGAATTTGCAATAAAAAATAGGGAGTTTCATTTTTTAAAAATTGATGTGACCTTGACCTGACCGTGACGCTATCCAAGATCACAGTGACAATCAGTAAATAGATCCTTTTAAACCCTACAACTTTTGTCTGAAACACTTTTCTTTAAAAGTTCTATTTTCTGAGATATTCAGATGTTCCGGTACTTTTTTATCACCTTGTATATATATGTGTGTGTGTGTGTGTGTGTATATATATATATATACATATATACATACAAAGTGTGTTCTTACTTCCAAAATATAAGTCTACCACCTTCACCGGCAATTCTCCATGTCTCGCCAACACCGCCCACGGCTATGGTTCCTAAAATCAGAACGGCAACGAGACTTCCGACAGTCACCATCATCTGAACCGTATCCGCCCATACGACTGCCTTCAGACCTCCCTATGAGTTTTTCAAATAGAGATTACTTGCACACAATAAAGGCATCAATGTCAATCACGGCGCGACGTGCGTAGAATCAAACGGTACGATCCAAGAAGTCGATGAAACGTAAACCCGAGGGAAGATCGTAATACAATTGTATAGTAATACTACAGTAAAGCTGCTGTGTACAAATAATCCGTATATTTTATGTTACTTCCAGTACATGAAAGAGAGAGAGAGAGAGAGAGAGAGAGAGAGAGAGAGAGAGAGAGAGAGAGAACATACGATTTGCACAATTTAATTTTTTCATACAAAGACTTTACAGCGTATCGTAATTTATAAAACACACGATTGCGTAAGTGATAACGTTATCTCTGTATTTTACATAAACTAGTTCTAAATACTTCTCAATGTTTAAAAAAGTTGTCAAAAAGCGTTTACTCTATTTTTTCAAAGAAATACGAGAATTATATCAGTGAGATAAAATTAATTCGCGACCTATTCTCATAATACACATTAAGTTAGTATTCGTACTATTATATATAAGCAAACAACAAAAGAGGTAGAAAATGGTCATTTTTGGCCTCGCCTAGAAATGAAAGATTAATGCAGGACTGTTAAAAATATCACTCAAGAAACAAAAAACGTTCTTATTACTTTCCCGAAAAACAATAGAAAAGTTGTCGAAAATTGTTGCAAACATGTTGATTACGTTTCACTTATATCCACATTTTTACATTCATTTTTGGATTTCAACTTTCCTATCGTTTTTCGGGAAAGTAAGGACATTTTTTATTTTTTAGTGATACTTTTAACGATGCTGCATGAATTGTTTATTTCCAGATGGGGTAAAAACTAATCATTTCCTATAATTTTCCTTTTCTCATTGTTGTTCTGTATTTTATAATTTTATTTCGTGACGCGTAGCAAATGCAGTTATCTTATCCGCACATCGTGCGATGCATTGCAAATAATCCTACAAAGGTGATAAGATTAGTCGCGTATATGACAAATCTTTAAGTAATTCCATTCTAAATAATCATTTATTTGGTAGCTGCCAGTTTTCCGTGTACGTATCCCGTCTAAATTAAATACATCGCGATATCTGATAACATCATAGTAATAATGATGATGAGGAGATGTACATACGCACACAGGCGTTCTATTTTGGTGCTTTTACGGACTGCTTACTCATTCTCGGTACGTTTCTATACTTTCTACAACGATAAATCTTTGTTTCAATACGCAGCACGTGTGAGTGCTAATAAACGATAACAGTATCTATTGTGTGTTCTCCGTAAATAATCACATAAAGAATATAGAAATCCACCACACACACACACACACATATTGACGTCATGAAAATACTTTCTCTCTCATAAAACTAAGTAAAACATTTTGTAAATATTAAAAAATGTTAAATCTCTTGTTTTGTTTGAGAAAAGTCGGATATGCGCGTACAAAGTAAATTTTATATTTTTTTCGCCAAACTAATAACTGTTTACACACACACAATACTTTATTATAACTTATTTATTTCACTTACAATGGTTGTATAGAAGATGCACACCACGCATATCACCGGTGCGACAAAATGCAAATTCAGACCGGTTGCTTGCGAAAAGGCTAACGCCGGCACATAGATTATCAACGGCACGTACACCACCAACGCAAGAGAAAACAGGAAGGACGCTAACTGCCGAACCGGCCTGTTGAATCTGATTTCCAAATACTCGAAAGTGCTCGTTAATTGTAGCTTATAAAACACCGGCAAATACACAACGATAATTATGACGCAAGTGATGAAAGATGTGAAAATGCATGCTGCGTATTGAGTTCCATATTGATACACTTCGGACGGTACGCCAAGCAAAGACACTCCCGATATATGACTAAAATAAATTACATTAAACCCATTGTATGCCTATATAATAAATATATGCCTATTTAATAAATAATTCAAATAAACTAAACCTCTTAGAGATTAAAAATTTTTTTAACTAAAAACTTTTCTGATTAAAAAAAATTATTCTATTCTCAATCGAGACATTATCGAGAAAATGAAATGAATATATCTGGTAAATGCTATTACCTTGCTATCAGACTCATGCTAATCGGAAAAAAGGACATAGTCTTGCCGCCTAGTAGATATTCGGTGGTAGTATTTTGTTTCGTGCTAAAGAAACCGAAATACACTCCGATGAGAACACTAATTCCTAACAGACCTCCGAACAGGATGTAATCGGTCCACCCAAAAGTAAGTTGCTTAAATTCATGGCCCACAAAAAATGATTCTGTATCATTGACGATCATCTTGGATTTGTTAGATCAAAAGATTCTCGTTGATAAACTGCGGGTTAGAGATTTTGATTAAATGGAAAATATTTCAAAATCAGTTACACACACACATTTTTATATGTAGTCGAGAATAAAAGTAAATGAACAAGTGGTAGAAATGATTGAATTTTAATCAAAATAATTATATACATTGTTATATATTTAAATTTTATTTATGATATATAAATTATTTAGTAAATAATTGAAATCAATATTCCTGCACAAGTAGATTGTGTTTAACAAATAAGTCAGCCAGTTGCAGACAAACAAATATACAAAAATAAGTATACACATAATAAATTAAAAATTAATACTTAGGCTGCGTTTGGGGAGCACGCTGTCCGCGCTATTGCGTCATTCTATCTTTGTTTTCTATCTAATGAGCAATAAAGATAGAATAATGCATAGCGCGCTCCCCGAACGCAGCCTTAGTGTTGTCACCTTTTGCTTATTATTACTATATCTAAACGCTTTAATATATACAGTTTATATTGTATACTGTTTATAATAAGTCTTCGATATAATCTTTCTTAATATTTTTTAATGCTGAGGGTAAACTTTTGAAAAAGTCGATCTTATTGTTCCGCTTTCTACTGAAACTTTAGCATCCATAAATTCTCTATAGAATTTAAATTCGAACTCTGTTGGCTATTCAAATAATTTAATATTTTAATCTTCAAAAAATTTCTTGATTTTTTCAGCAAAGTGTTTAGGGTCGTTGTTTTGCTGTAAGACAAATTTTTCATTAAGACTCAGTTTTATCACTGCTTCTTCTAAAGTTTTATTTATTATATCGATGTACTTGTCTGCATTCATAAAAAAGTATTATACTTTCTCTATACTATACCTAACCTACACTATGAAAAAGTATCTTCATATTATCAATAATTCACTATCAAATTTTACTATTGGAGTAATAAATAATTTCTTGAATACTTTATTAGTTTTCTCCAGACTTGATTCTTCTGTTTTAATTGTCGCATTTCAAAGAGTGACCTCAAAAATCGTCCGTTTTAGAATCCTCGAATTTTGAACCAAATAGTGTGCTAAATGATACCTTATGATGAGACGTTGATCACAAAAAAGTTTCACATTGAGCCTACTTTTTGTTTTGGAGATAGGCGAAAGTTACTGAGTTGGGTGAAAAAAGAATATCGGTATCGTGACATACGTCACAAGTAAATCTACGGAACTGTTGGAACTTATCACCGATGTTGATCAAATGTTGGGACAAATGTGCACTTGTAAAACTATAATAAATAATCGACATATATGTTTTTATATCGGCATTTATTTTTCTTGTATCGACATGTATTTTTTTATTTTTTTTTATAAAAATGAGTTACTCATTTATCGTTTCCTTTATATTATTTACTTCAATTATTTTTTTTCAAAAACATTGGTTTCTTTATATATTTTTAGCAAAAACTAGATATTTCTTCATGTTGCTACTTGACTAATGTCTAATTTCTCGGCTATTGTACAATAATTTAATTTTTTTTATGAAACAATCAAATTTTGATTTATTTTTACTAAAGTTTTTACTAAAAGTTTTCTCATTTTTGGCATCCTGATATTGTTAAAAAATAATCCTACTGTTCCAAAGTTGTACACTGAGAAAAAAAAGTTGTTGAAGTAACAAAATAGTATTTGATTCAACTATATGCAGCTGTCACGGGCTGTCAATGAAATATTGATTAATGTAAGAAGATATCATGTTTCAATTAGGGCTGCGGCTTAAATTCGAATAACAGTGTGATTCGGATATCCGGATATTCGAATATAATATATATGTACGAATAAACTTCGATCAACGGATAGTATTCGAATATCCGGATACTTTGTGCAGCGAATAGTACGAATAGCACTATTCGAGTTATTCGAATATCCGTATTATCCGGATATTTCGATATACTCAGTAGCGTATAAACAAGCTTGGGACCTTTCAGTACTCGGAGACAGAAATGTGATCACAAAATTAAAAAAGTCTATTACAAATATAAAAATAATGATATTTATTGTTCAAGAATTTAACTTGTCATCTACGAGTAAGTTTACTCTAATTCTGAGATTATATTATAAAAGATAAAGAAAT